AAATAAACAATTAAAAAAATAATAAAAAACATGTTTTTCCAAAACCTTGAAGAACAATAGAATTTATGATTTAAAAAAAAACGGTTCCCTAATTTTAATATTCAGTTGCAAAAAACGATTGTTGATTAACAAACGCATTTTTGAGCAACAAAGAAATTTAAGGTGTGAAAGTGACCTAGTGAATAAATGCTTGTGTTTTTAAATAGTTTATCTTGTGAAAAAAAGGCTGAAAAGTTGCCTTTTTTTTAACTTTGAAGGGCCGTAACTTTTTGAATAAGGTAGAGCACCGCTTTTTTCTTTCGGATTCGTAATCTCCGTATCAAAATACGTAAGTACAATCAAACATTTTTTCAAAATTGCCGGGTGCCCTCAAAACGAATATTAGCCTGTTCTGAAATGAAATGTACGTCCATAACAGCAATGACTGGACTGACTGAGACTTCAAAATGCAACCCACCTCCGCGCAGTCAGGTCGCATACTTCTGCGAAGTTATCTGCCGCAGTAGTAGACGAAACGTTTGGCACTCAATTTACATTCTGCCAGGGCCTACCGGCTCGGATTTTATTCTCCAAATAACAAATAACTAAATATCTATCTACTTATCCAACAAAAGTATTTGAAAACATTCTCAAAAAAACCTGCTAGAGGATTTCTTTTTCCGATAACTGTTTTCTGTAGTCCGATTTTCATATATGTTCACAGGCATTAAGTAATCACTCTTTTTTTAATTTTTGAATTTCTAGGCACTCTGATTTTTGTCTATTCAAATACCTATAAAATAGTTACATAACGTTGTTTAAATTAACTATGGGATACCAAAGAATACAAAGCCCATACAGCTCAGAAGTGGCCTATTCGTGTCACTTACCCTGACCACCAGAGGGCAATGACAGTACGATGTCAGTATTTATTGTGAGTATCAACAAAAGAGTGTCATAACAAACCAATCCCGTTTTCAATCTATTTGAATTTTGGCGTACAACCCAACTTCTACATGATCCGGATGACTGGTTGTCAGCAGAGTAAAAACCCAATTCTGTTGATAGTACTGCTATCGCCCTCTAGTGGTCAGAGTAAGTACAATACTCTTTTCGCCATCTAGTGGCCAGGGTTTGTACTACACATTTCAGATGACACAAAAATGCCACTTCCTACTTTATGGGTTCTGTATTCTTTGCGGATAGGTATGAATTGTCTTGTTTCTACCAGTGGCGAGATGGCAGCACTATGAATCAAATTGACAGTTGCAAGCTCAATACTGTTGAAGTATTGTGTGTTGTCAAATCAAGGAATCGAAATACCGTATCTCCTTGTACACTAACGACAATACAATATCAATAATTATGAGAAAAGTTGAACATACATGGCATATACATAGTTTGTCCCTTCACTCCAGTATGTGTGTACTGTTTCTCTTATCGAAATGAGGTAAAGGAATCAAGATATTGAGAAATGTATAGTATAAAGTTTCCAGAACCCAATTCATTCAACATTTTGATACAATTTCGCAATAAACAGGGAACCAAATAGCAGAGTAACGCATCAAAATCATATTTTTCGAAATGAATGTCATATATTACATATCGAATTCTGACCCTCTCCATTTTCAGTTAGAAATTCCATCTTACTATGAGGATATTCTTTAAATCTTAAAATTTCCTCAAATTATTTCGACCAAATTTCATTTTTCTAAAACACAAATATTTTCTTTCAAATAGAATACTTCATGATATATAACATATGATCCGTCCCTTAGTTTTCGGAAGCAGTATTAGATATTGGACCACAAAATTCACGATATATTATAGACCTTCAGGAACGAAAACTTTGTCTACTGAACAGACTTACTAAACAATTTTTGGTGGTGAACTGAACATTTCCTTGCTCGGTACGATGAAGCAAATATTTTGTCCCAAGAGGTCTCAGCGTTTTCATTTTGACGAGGCTATGATTTCTCACAAAAAATTGTTATTATTAAATGTAATCAGGCGAACATTTAGAATTGATTACAAATAAATTGAAAAGGGTATGTGTAAATCTTCCAATGGAAAGAAGAAAGCAATTCATTTTAAAATAAACTCCCAACAAAGTTGTGTAGATCATGCAAAGAAGAAAAAGTTCTTCCAAAACAACTACTTAAAATTGATTACACGAAAGATAAAATACTTTTGAAACAAATACTTTTATATGAACAATGAATTAAACGAAAAATATTTTTTCCTATTCTTACTTCTTACATTCGTAATAGAATTGAATCAGATATCATTCACAGGATTGCTACACAATATAGTATATGGTAGAGGTGAAATTTCACTTACATGGAACACTGTCATCCTGAATGACAGAAATCGAGGTTTCTGAGTGAGACGACGTGGAAATTTCATAGGGAACTTGATTACCTGAACTTGAAACTGTCCATCGATTGTAGTGGAGCGACAGCTGATTAACAGAAAAACAAAGTTTTTAACAGAAAATTACTTATGCTCCGAAAAGTTACGATTTAATCAACAGTCGAATAATTTTCTATATTTTCAGTGTCTCTGCACATCATGTGAGTTTTATGGATGGAGATTCGTCGATATGATTCGAAAATATTTCTCATGCTTCTAGTCTTTTTTTTTGTTTACTATTCGATTTCATCTAGATTAATACTTCCAACGGATAACTGGTGAAAAACATATAAAGATTCTGTTTTGTCATTGACCAGCTATGTTACCCTCAAAAATCTAAACTTTTGCAAGCCGAGGATTGACGAGGCCTTACCTTTCAACAGGCGATTCCTAGCACGGTATATGCTATGAAAGTTTTTGTGAACAACAATCTCCTTTTTGTATTTATATATACTATAACGTTTCCTAACTCTTTTCTTGAACTATAGCAAGAAAACGGTACATGTGTCTAGTGGGAATGACTAGCTCTCGATTTGCGGAGGCAAAGGTTGAGTCCGGTTTTTGATTTTTTATTGAAATTCAATTATCAGTGCTGAAAAGGGTAACCAAATTGAAANCGAATCTACAGAACTTGATATTTCTTTTGAAAAAATATCTGCTATCACAATTGTGACTTAAACTTCCATATAGGTACTGTACTTTTTGTTTACGACTTCATTTTGGCATACTTTGTATTATTCCTGTTATAAATGTTGTTGAAATAACTTTATCATACACTATATGATTATAGTTTGATATAGTACCCAATCAAAAACATTAATTGTTTCTTGGGACGACAAACTGAATTGAAAAAAATAAATACAACAATATATTTGTGAGTGAGCAGGACCGTATTTGAATACTTGTAAATAAGGCTCATTAGGTCATCAAGAGAGTTTTGTTTATATTTTTTGAGTTTAATTTCATCGACATTTGATGAATATGTATTGTGACAGTAATTCATTCGACTCATATATTTATTATTATAAGAAAAAACCTGATTGTTCATCTGAGGAAGATATATTACTACTATTACTATTACTATATATTGTGATTATAGTAAAATGGAATTTCATTCATGTTCAAATTGTATCAGGCTATTGCATATTTTATATATTTCTCTTTTTCTCTTCGTCACTTTTTCAAAACATCAGATCCCACAAAAAATCGATTTAAATCAGTCACTCATACAACAACAAGACAAAGTAGGACCGTTATATAACAATCACCTGAAACGCAGATATTTCATGGCATAATCGCGAAATAATCAAGCCAAGGTCGGTTAAAGTTCTTTCACTTTTGACACTGAATTTCTCTTTCATAATACTCCATACAGACAATTTCGCTATTTATTTTCGTAGAATGAAATAGCACTCAGAAAACACGCTTAGATTTGTTTACAATTCGTTATTATAATTTGTTGTTTGTGGAGCAACGGAAATTTGAGAAATTAATCACCAACGGATATATTTCCGATTTCATAAAAATAAGGAATGTTGTTTCAATTCGTTGCTTTCTATCATGGTGATGGGGACTTTAAATATTTTCAGTGATGTTTATCTCAGGTGCATGAGTTTTATCGATTACAAACCATTGAATTGAAGTAAACTGAAAAAGGGAATTTTAAGGTGAAATTAGTTTTTTGGGAAACAAATATTTTTGGTTTTCTACCTTTCCATCACTAAACAAAAAATGTAGAAACATCCACAGAATGGAGTAAAGAAACTAACTACAATGAAAATTATTTATTGAAATATACAGAGTGTATCTTGAATGATTTAGTTAATCTCAGGTGATGATTACTTGTCATATTTCATGAACGAAGTTCATATGAACTCGTGTAACAAGGTAACTTAGATCACAAACAATTAAAGAAGTTATTTTTCCAATAAAGTGCATTTGAATGGAAGGTTATCTTCAAACGCGCTTTTTTATTGTGAGAAAGCTACTTTTCGGGTTCTTGACCGTGGTTCTGCCTGTTGTTTCGTGTACTACTGCGGTAGACAGTGCTTGAGTTGTTGTTTTTAACGCAGCAACTACAAAGGTGGCATTTGACTTTCATTATTATTGGTGGGTGCAGCTAGGTTTTCCTTGATTGGATTACCCGACCTTTTTGTGTACAATCAAGGATAGGATCCCAGATTTTATTAATGTACATCGTTTCTTCTTTTCTTTTGAAATCATCCCTGTGTTTTTGAATCTCTATAACTTTGAAAATACAATAATTGTTGATTATATTGAAGACAACAACGATAAAAATAAAAACAACAATAAAAATTAATTGGCGTTCCGGGGCGACTTCATTGATTCCAGTGGCGCATTTGCTTTTTCAGCTGCAGGAAAACCCGGAAAAACCTGCAGCACCACATCGTCTGAAGATCTTGATCTGCCAATGTCCTCTCTCTCATAAAATAAAATGTAGGGTGTCTCCAGAGGCTCCAATAGATTCAATACATCGCCAGAACACTTCGTGACACGACTATCGTCAAACTTAAACCAGGCCGTTTCGTTTATGACCAATGACTAATAATGGCCAGATTCAACGCCAGAACAATAGTGAACAAAGACTGCATGAATATTATAATAGTGGAATGCTAGAATGAAATGTTCATCTATTTCTAACCTTCGAAAGAGTTTCTTACTTCCGTCAGATGTTGAGTATTGTTTGAAGATTGCTAAGGAATTGTTAAATGACGTAAACGGCGATCCAGATTCACTTGAAAAGGTCACAACTGGTGACGAATAAGGGGTGTGTGGTTATAACATCGAAACCAAAATCCAAACGTTCCAATGAAAGAGCCCAGGAGAGTCAAGACCAAAAAAAACACGCCAAGTTCCATCAAATGTCAAAGTTTTCTCATGGTTGTACTGTCAATAGGGAGTTTTATGATGTGGAAATTCTGGCATTGTGGCATTGAGCATTGTGGAAAAAATTATGGCTTTTGCATCAGGATAGTGCACCTGCTCACTCGTAGTTACTTGTTCGTAATATTTCGATGAGAAACAACACGGTAATGATGCCTCAGCCACCGTATTCACCAGATTTGACCCCATGCATATTTTTCCTTTCCCCATGATTGAAGATACCCATAAAAAGACGCGTTTTGCGATAATTGAGGAGATAAAAACCGAATCGCTGAGAGAACTCGAGGGCATACTGAAAAATTCATATCAGAACTGCTTAAAGGATTGGAAAAATCGCTAGCACGAGTGTACTATATCTGAAATGGACTACTTCGAAGATGACAAAACAGAAATGAAAATTCCATATATTATAAAGGAGTGAGGAACGATAGTATAATTAAAATAGATTCGGCCAGAGGGGGAACGAAATGACTTATCTGAAGAACTAAAATATGGGTATTTTGGCCCATCACCGTATTTTTGTGTTTCCAATATCAGAGAATCTTCTCATTTTCTTATTCTCATTTACTTTTGATTTCAGAAAAAACATTTTCACAGATAATTCCTCTTTCAGTTTCTACCAAACTTCCAGTTTACTATTCATTAACAATAACAATAAATGACAGGTGACACATCTTGCTCCTGCGTCTTGATTTACGAGTATAATACTTTAAAGGGTTATTTCCTCCAATAGAAAATGTACCATTTCATTCTTAACCTCGAATCTGACGCTGTGATGAATATTTTTGAAATGTTTTTTTTTTTATATTTCTGAATTTTTTTTTTTCAGACCCAGTTCTGTATTATGCTGGCTTATCTCGTCTTCATCATTGCCATGGATTGCAAACTGCCAAAATCTCTAACATTCTTCTTCGTTGCAAATGTTGTGATTTTCCTTTACCTCTTCAGTGATTTTTACAGAAAGGCCTACAAAAAGAAAATGCCGGTACACAAAGATCTTGGAGACTCGAATGGTGTTTCCAATGGAATTGTGAAGTTCAAAGAACATTAGAATAATTAATTGAATTATATTTATTGTATAGTTGCGTTTTGTGGATTCAGCTGAAATAATATTCCCAGAATTTCTCGAGACGTAGTTGGCACAATTTTAGCTGAATCAACAAATTCTTTTGTGTGAATACCATATTGATTTCTTATTATGAATTCTGTTATGTTTTGTTATTCCTTATACTTACTGCAAGGAATATATATCTGTTTTGTGATATACAGCCCTTGTTGACTTGTGATAATTATTGAGGAATTTGAGAAGATAGGTTCATCTGATTGTTGGTACATAAATATAAGAATTCTGTTGTTTCCCCAATGAAACTTTTGTTTTCATTCGTTCATCCATTTTCAAGCAGTGAGGACATCTTTGAAAACAATTATTTTCATAGAATATTCTGAAGTATGGTACATAATTTATCTCTAAAGTAAATAAAATTGCGTTCTATACAATGTTTTTCTGTCTACTAAACTTCATTCGAAATAAAATAGGGTATTCTAACAGGGCCTGTCAAATTAGTTGTTATAGTCTAGTTCACATATACTTTTTTTTGTAACATTTTTCAGCCCTGTCCAAAAATTACGACCGAGGTGTCAGTCGATTCGTATTTTTGCCTAGAAAGTTTAAGGAAAGGTCCAAAAACGCGCCGATAAAAATTACAAAAGTTATAAACAATTAAGTAAAAAAAAATGGGGCTTCAGTTTTTTCTCAATATCTCGTAAAATTTTCAAAATTTTGGAAATTTTAAAAAAGATTTGAAAAGATCAATGAATTTGCGTAAAAAAGTCCCGACTCCCGAAACTGTGTCTCGATTATTTATAATTTTTACAGAGCCCTGAAAATAGAGCCAAAAGCGGGGAGTCTGGCTTCCGCGCGCCTTTCGTCACTCTGACATAAAAACAAAAAAAATTATTTAAACATATTAAATGTAAATATTAAGGAATGAAAAAATTCATGTAATGTTGGGATACATCAATAAACAATAATCCGCAGTC